CAACAATCCAAAGCCCACTCAACCAGAGCAGTGGCAACATCAACAGCACTACATGCTGGCATTCTGGTGGAGGACTTATGCAAAGCAGCAACATGGTCCAACCATTGACATTTATCCAGCACTACCAACTCCATGTTCAAGTGAGACAGGACTGTTTCGGAAAGGATATTTTGCCAGCAGCCCTTTGATGACAACATCACCCTGCCTTCATTCCAAGGTAAGTTCGCTAATCGCCCAAATGTGTGATGTACAGAAACCACGAACAAGAAAGTAAGGTTGCTTACCTGTAACCAATGTTCTTCAAGTGGTCATCTGTGCATTCAGACAACCCATCCACCAGCCCCTCATTGGTGTTGAATACAGAACAAAATGCTTACCTTAACATCCATACTCTAGTTCCAAGGCCCGGCTGACAGTCTCACAAGGACAGGAGAAAATGGCGGGAGTCCCACCTTTATATAGCATTGGGGAAGAGAGCAAGGCTCCCGCCAAAACACCTAGCTAGGGAATCTATCTATCTTTCTATCTATCTATCTATCTATCTATCTATCTATCTGACAACAGACCCTGCACAGAGCCCATATGTGTAATGCACAGAAACCACAAAGAAGAATTAAAGTTTATTCTGATTCTAGCAAATACCTACTGCTGCCATGTTCTATCATTATAATATCAGATATATTCATAAAAACCACTCACTATGATTGATCTTGATCATTTCGCATGCCTCCTTGGCAAGCTGTTTGATCTCAAACATTCTACACTCAAATTGAATGCTCTCAGCACTGGATGTTGAGTTAAGCAGCAGCTTTTTGACATCATGTACTATGCCTTGGAGCTGGAATGCTGAAGGCCCTTCAACTCACAGCCAGCAAAGAAATATACCAGCTGCCTCTCTGAGGATACAACTGAGCCCTGGAGTGGGGCAGGGAAGAGGTGTACTGGGGACCAGGGAAGACGCTAGAGTTGTCACTTTCTACTGATTCCTATCACACCCCAGTCGCCTTCTCTCCCCTTCTGCTAAATCTGGGCAATAAAAACTGGCTCTCTAGGATAAATACACAGAGCAGACATTGCTGTTGCCCTGCCACACTCCATGTACCGGATGCACATAAGCCTTTTGAGTTTGGAGGCTTTATGAGCATCAAGGGCAGGAGCACTGGATTGAGACCTTAACTACTTTCCCTGTCAGTTTCCCATACAGTCATGAACTCCTTGCAACACCTATAACAGCGTGCCTAAATTGTTACCACTTTACACATGCACTGTATATACTTCATTCTGTTGGCAAAGCACCAACTATGTTGTCAGTCGCGAAGTCGTGTCCGACCCCTCGTGACCCCATGGACAACATTCCTCCAGGCCTTCCTGTCCTCCACCATCCCCCAGAATCCACGCAAGCTCACACCAAGTGCTGGCACCAACTATACACAGTGCAACATTCAAGTACATACCCTGCTGGTCTTAATTACAAAATAAAATGGTTTTTATTTACATTAGTCTGTACAATATTAGAATAATGTGTTTTCAGGCTTTCTCTTGTGTGCCACAAATCATTTGTACTTCCTTAGCTGCAGCAACCAAGGAACATTTTGGTCTGGAAGCTACACTGTGTAAACTGTTCCCCCAACCTAAAGTCCCAGATTGTGCTTTACACCATGTCATGCGTTATGTATGGGACATTCAGCAAGACATGAAAGGTCCTTTCCCATCAACCACTTTTGGTTCAATTGTGGAAGCAGTAGACTGTTTCTCATACTTTCAGAAATGCACCAGCTTCTGGTCTCCAGATTTGCACAGGCCAGATATATGCCCATCAAAAGTCCCATCTCTACTATCATATATTTTTACTCCAGTGATGAAGTGGGAAAGGAGAGGAAAGGTTAACATTGCTCTAAATCCTTCATCTGCTTTCTGTGTGGTTAAGATTTGTTGAAAAGTCAGCATTATGGGCAATGATTTACAACAATAGCCTGCAGGAGATGCTTTAATGCCTCTAATTTTAAAAAAAAAATTAGTTCCCCACTTCATTGTTATCTATTTTAAATTGTTTTTATTCTTTTACTATCATAAGGTATGTATAAAAGGCAGTTCCTAAACTAAATAAATATTACTGCTTGCCTCCCCCTCCTCAAGTACCTTGTCTGTTGTCAGAGAAATGACTAAAGGAGTGTCACAATCCTCCCATCTCTCAAAGAAAGCTAACACAATTAATAGCAAAGGACTAGCTGCTCTCATTAATCTTCAAGGATCAATGAATCACTTCATTCTAGCATTCCATAAGAATGCTTTCAGAGAGGTTCTCATTGTGCAATAACTACCTCATTCGTTGAATTTTACACAGTCTAGATGTGATTGTCTTCTATTTGTAGGCCTCCTGTGCTCTCCTACTCTTTTTAAGAAATGAAGGTTTAAGTAAGAAAGGAATTGTTAATGTCAGGAGCTCTCCATCCAGAAACACCCAACATCTGCATACAAATGCTAGTTTTTCAAAGGGCTGTAGGCAGTACTGTGGAACTATCATCTGTAGAAACACAGTCCTGTTTAGAAACTGTGGTAAACTGCATAGACAGTACAGTTTCTGTACTATCTATTGGGTAGTACAGAAGTTAAATTTAAAAAATAGAAGAGCCCTGCTGGATCACACTAAAAGTTTGTGTAGTCCAGCTTTCTGTCCCATAACAGCCAACCAAATGTCTATAGGAAACTCACAAACAGAACACAAGTGCAAAGCATTCTTCAGTTCCCTAACCACCAATATTTAGAGGTATACTAACTCTGATATTGGATATAATATATAGCCATAATGACTAGCCACTATGACATCTATGAATTTGTCTAATCCACCGTTAGTGCCATCTAGATTGTTTGTCATCACTACACCTCGTGATAGCAAATTCTTCACTGTATGAAGTATTTTTAATAGATACTAAATCTTCTTCTACACACCTCTATGCTGCACCCATAGGGTGCAATCCTATGCATGCTTAGGCAGGAAAAAAGGCCTATAGCTCTCAACATGCCCCAGCAAGCCTTTTTTCTGCCTAAACTTGCATAGGACTGTGCCTTACTCATTTTTTTCTAAGCAAAACACCCCCAAATACTATAACCTTTGCTTCAGCCCTTTAATCATATTGTTTTACCTTTAATTATGCCTTTTCTAGTCCACTGCACATTCTATCATTTCATGTTTTCTGGTTAAATGGGTCTGTATTTTTCTGTAAACTGTTTCAAACAGTGTCTTGGAAAAGCCAAAACATACTTCGCCATGCATACAAACCTATTAGCCATGAATACATTTTGGTGTGTTCGCAGACTCCAGCTACAACCACTGTAGATTGTACAGTGCTTTGCTAAAACTAACTTAAATACCTGGAAGGATAAGCACTTACATTATGTGCACATAGCTACATAAGAAAGGAAGTTGAAACAGCATGATGCCTTCCATCAGCCTGGCTAGAACCGATAGTTATCTGGCTAACCCTTATCCTATCCAGATTTATTTCACCCAGCAGCCATTCCCCCTGACATCATCAAAGGGAGAGGTAAGACAGTACAGATCCCTACATTAGCTTGGCTAGAAGAAATGGCCATTTAGCTCCTTCACTTCTCATATTCATGACAAGGCCAGGAAGCCCAAACTGCTTGCTTCCCCGTGCCCCTGCTTTTTTCCATCTCTTTTCCTTTTGGTGACCTATCTATTAGACCTCAAGTCTTTAACTTTGAATGCACTAGCAAAAAGACAGTATGTAAGTCATGGGTCCTCAAACTACAGCCTGTGGGACAGATCTGGCCCGCCATGCCCATTTATCCAGCCCGTGCCACCGCCTGCTGCCCATGCGTGCGCTTGCCGGCGACTTGCCCCACGGGCGGGGAGGCGGTGGTTTGCTCACTCGGAGATGGTTTTGGACTCGCTGGAAGAACTCCGAGTGACTGAGCGAGCAAGCTGCCACTGCACACGCCCGACACCGCCTCACCGGCCCGCGCCCCAGGTACCCCTGCCTCACCGGCCCGCGCCAATCGCTGCCACCTTTCAACTGGCCCCCTATTGAAAAAGTTTGAGGACCGCTGATGTAAGTAGTAAAAAAAAAAGGAACCAATGTAGCCTCTTCCTTTCCTTTGGCTTCCACTGTCACTTTTGCTTTTCTTTCATTTTGCCATTCATTTTCATTCTGTTGATCCCTAATCACCATTCTCCACACATTGATAAAGTTATTTTTTTTAAATTTCAGCTAATTAAAAAATGAAATGTACCAATAGATGCTGGCTGGGTTCAGTCAATATGGAAGGTTGAGTGTTGATTGTTGGAAGGTTGAGTGTTGATTGGTGAACTATGGATTGTTGAAGAGAACAAACAATGGGTTATTAACCACAAATAACTCAATAACAAATCAGGGTTCTCTTCACGGGTTGTTTGTAGTTAACAAACCATGATTTGCTAGCAAGGCTGGGTTCAGGCGTTAAGATAATCCATGTTTCAACACTCATCCATGGTTCAACAACAATCTATTCTCAGTCCTTGAAGTAGCACAGCCTGCTAACCAAAGCATCCACCATTTATTACTTCTGTGCCAAACAATAGGAAATACTGCAAAAGTAAACAGAAAATACAAGATCTACTAGAGTGCAATGCTGCATTTTTGCCATTATTTTCTATTGCTATTCTGGAAACGACCGTCAGAACTTGGTCGAACATGCAGTTCAGTGACCTTAGTGGGCTTTTGGGAAACAACCCAAATACATCCAGCTCTGTCCTTTTAGGACTCGACGTGTAGTCCTGAAAATCTCCCTCGCAGAACACTGTATTTTTATTATATAATAATGACTTTGCCTTCCAGAGGTAGCCGCTCTCCTCAGAGGCAATGGCTACGCGTCGCCCAAGAGACCAGCAAGCGTAGTCACGCCCCCCCCCCGCGCTTTCAACGCACGCGTGCACACGTGCGCAAGAGGAAGCGGGAGCGCGCGGCGCGGGAGGCGCGCCGGAGCGGAGCCGCCGTTACCTTCCCAGACGGTGCTTCCATTCTCGTGGCGCCGGAGGAATTTGTACCAGAACGTGCCCGCGGCCTCTTCTTCGGGCAGCGCCACCTCCGCGAGCCACAGCACCGGCTCCTGAGCGGGCAAGGGAGCCAGTGGCCGCGCAGGTTTCATGGCCAGCGCCTGCTTGGGCTCCCAGTGACCCAGCTCTGGCCGGGAGCCTGAGACACACAGCGCCGCGCCGCCTTCGGTCAACCGAGCGGGCACGATCACCCCAAAACGAAACAGCATGGCGGAAATTCGGTTCTCCGGGAGTTCGGGACCGAAGGAGAAGAGCGGAGCGTGGGGCGGGAATCCCGCTGTTGGCCGCTAGGGGGTGAGGGAGAGAGAAATGGGAGCCTCCGTCGCCGGCGAGAGCCCGTGACGCCACACCCGCGCCGCCCTGCCCAGCCTAGCCCAGCCAAGCTCTGTCTCCCGAATAGGGAACAGACGGCGGGCACGAAGCGGCGAAGCGCTCGAGAAGGGCGGGCCGGCGCAGGGGAGCGAGAGGAGGGGGCGCGTGTTCTTCAGCACTGCGCGCCAGTTCCGCGTGGCGGAGCATTTGAGCTTTCAGAGCCGCCTCGGGTCGGCGCAACCGAGCCGTCACTTCATTTGTCGTCCTATATTTTTAAAGCTCCTATGGGCAGTTACTAACACCTTGAAAGAGCCCTCGCTAAGGCCTCTTCTGGACTGCCCAGGCCACTGCGCGGGCGGACCCGGAAGGCTCCCTTTTCCTCCAGAAGACAAATCCTGAGCGCTGCCCACAAAAATGAGGACCCGAGCCGTGGTTCTCTGCTTCTGGCTCACGCTTCCTTGGGCGAAGGAAATGCCTGGCTCCATCAATACAAAAGCGTTGTGCCACCATTTCTTCTTTTCATACTTAGCGGGATTTCCGCAGTAGGAACCTGGGCGGAAGAAGTCGGGTAGGATTCCGCGCTGAAAACGAGGCTGTCTGGACCCCCATAGAATTCCGTGAATGAGGCAAGGCCATGGGTGACAAAACGTCTGGACGCACCAGGATGGTGAGAACACAACCTGATTCTCTTCTTGGGCTTCGTGTTCTTTGCAGTACCATCCAGAGAAACTGAATAAAAGGCAAAGGGGCATACTTTTCTTATAGAAAGCTATGGGGTAGCCACAGGTGGAATATTGCATACAATTCTGGTCACAGCATCAGAAAGGTATTGTAGAATTGGAGAAAAGGGCAACTTAATACAGGAGCTGAAGTAATTGCTTTATGAGGAACGGTCACAATGTCTAAGGCCATTTAGCTAGAAAAAGGGGCAAGTGAGGGTAAAAGTATGCAACATAGCAATATACAAAATTATTCATGGTGTGGAGAAAGCAAATAGGGGGACATTATTTTTTTTTATAAATCCAACAGGATCATGGTGTGAAGTTGGTGGGAAATTTATTTATTTGGGATATTGTCCATCACTCTGGGTCTCTGGGCGGCTCACAACAGGTAGAAGAAAGCATTTCTGCACAAAGTGCATAGTTAAACTGGAATTCACTTCCAGAAGATGTAGTGATGACCATCAATTTAGAGGGCTTTAAAGGGGGATTAGACAAATTCATGGAGATGGTGCTGCAGATACTGTCTACATTAAGGTACATCTCAGGATGGTTTGGACTCCTAAGTCAGCATTTCTGACCATTAGCCCTTCAGGCAAGGCTTCTGGGAACTGAAGCTCCAAATGAATGAAGATCTTTCCTATGTCCATTCTTGATGTACACCAAAAGTGGGGCAGACTTCAGGCTTGTCTGATCTACCATTTGTTTTATTATAACACATAAGTTGTAGTCCAAAATATTTGGAGGGCCAGAACTTGCTTGCTCCTTTTCTAAACAGATAGTGGTGGTGATACTGTGCTTCTGTCATAAGTGTTTTAATCCATATGTTGAAGACTAGGAGCTTCCACTATGCTGTGATAATTACTGTTACATTTGTTAATTAATATTACTTATGTATTTGCTGTTTTATAACATACTTGTAACCCACCTGAGAGCCATTCTGGCTAAGGAAGTAAGATGGATATTCAATAAATAAACAAGACAAACCAACCAATGCCTAGTACAAGATACATTCATTAAAGCTTCCAAGCACATTCTGCATTTCTGATTACCTGATGGCTTCTTCAATTCAGCAACCTAATTTAGTTGGGGAAATTATTTTGTTACATTTACCACTAAGTACCTGGGAAACATAAACCTTTGTCAATCTTCTGCAAAATTGCCTAAATATTTGCGTGCAGTTCTGATTTCTCTTCTGCCAAACTCTGCTCTACAGAGTTGACCAGAGGACTGATTTAGTTCTGATTACAAACATCTGTTCTAAATCTTCTACAATGGGAGAATACAAACTGATGAACCAGGGAAATGAAGCAGGTGAATCTACTAGCTATCACCATGCTGGCTTAGAGTCCTATAAACTACCGAGAAGTCGAATTCTTTGCAGTTCAATGTGACTTACTCCCAGGTGAGTCTGTATAGATAGCAGTGTTAGCCTTCCAAAATTTTAAACTGTGGCCACATGCAATTTAAATAGTCATAGAGCATATTCTTGGGATGAGGAAAACTGAAATTCAATTCTTGATACCTCCAGTTAAAAAACTTCACATAGGTTTCTGTATTCTCAGGATTTTTTCTCTCATGTTTGGTTTTGTTGAAAGATGGTAATGGAAAATATTTATCCAAAACTTTAAAGAGTTGTTCCCTGTGAAAGTAAACAATAGAAGGACAAATACACTAGATCTGTAATTTTATCTAAGACAAAAGATTCTGCAACAGCAGCGGATTGGACCTGATGGCCTTCATGGCCCCTTCCAACTCCATTATTCTGTGGTTCCAATGACTTTAGGACTGTAATGGTATCTTTCACCAGCTGTCCTATTCTTCATAATCTGAAGTTAATAAGAACTCAAGCCAGTTTAGAATGACCCAGATTAACTTCAGGAACAATTCAATCTCTAGGATTTGTATTGGCTATTAATTTGGAACGTATTAATAACTAACATGTGTAGTAACAATAGAGATACTTGTGCATGTCAAATACCATGTGTCTCCAGTTAAAAGAGAGAGAAATGGTTTCCTATAGACAAAGGTATCAGAAAAGGATGTATTTTGTTTTCCTGCCTGTTCAGTCTATGCACAGAACATATAATAAAGAAGGCTGGATTAGAATCAGAGGAAGAAGTGAAAATTGGAAGAAGGTATATCAATCAGATATGAAGATCATAGTATATCACCAGCAGAAAGCAGCAGTGACTTGAAACAATTCCTGATGTAAGTCAAAGAAGAAAGGGCTAAAGCAGGACTACAGCTGAATATTTTAAAAAAATCAGGACTACAAAAGAATCACAATTTTAATATTGATAATGAAGAAATTAAAATTATGAGATATTACATACCTTGGATTAATCATCAATTCAAAGGGAGAATATTCTAATCACTTGGAATGGGAGTGAAAGCTAGACAGTGAAGCAAGCTGAAAGGAAGAAGACTGATTCATTCAAGACTTGATGGAGTAGGAGCGCTTAGTAAATTTCCTGGTCCAACAGAAAGATGAATAAGTAGGTCCTGGAACAAATCAAACCAGAACTTACCCTGGAAGAAAAATGTTTAAAATGAGACTATCATACTTTGGGCACATCATAAGAATACATTAATTTTAGGGGACATCAAAGGCAGAAGATGATGACGACTAAATATAAGATTGGTTCTATAAAGAAAGCCACAGCCTTGACTTTACAAGAACTGATTAGGGCTATGAAGGACAGGTCATTTTGGAGAGCATTCATTCATATGGTCGCCGTGAGTCAGAGATAATGGCAAATGACAAGTGTTGTAGAGAAGCACTGGTATAACTGAAAAGATGTTGGAAGTAAGACCCAATACAAAAATGTTACAATATAAAAAAATTATTAGACACTTCACTGTGCTAAAATCAAATCATGAAAGCAACATAGTTCAAATATCCGTCAAGAGGGCCATTGTGGGTTAGTACTAGAGTGCAGGTCTGGAACTCAGGTGAGCTGGATTCCAGCTGGGTGACTTTGGATCAGTCACGCACACTCAGCCCAACCTACCTCGCAGGAAAATATTGAGAGCAGGAGAATTATGTAAACCGCTTTGAGTTCTTTTTAAGAAAAAAAGGTGGGATATAAATAAAAACAAAAAAGACCCGAAGTACCAGTTTACTTTCAGATGTTTTAACTGAATTTACATTTTCATCTATTGAAGGAATAAGGAATTCTACTTCAGATTCTAGAAACCATACCTTTACCACCTTAAGTATTTCATTATGCATGGGTATGGAGGATCTGTTAACACTAGAACAGATCACCTAGAACAGGTCGGCAACCTTTAACACTCAAAGAACCATTTGGACCCATTTCCCACAGAAAACAGCAGGATCTGCAAAACCCTTTTGACATCTAAAATGAAGATAACACTACATAGTTTTTTATCTTTATGCTATGTATAAAAAAACTAGTGTGTTGCATTTATGAAATCAATGAACTGCTTCAGAGAAAACAATTTTTTATTTCTGCATGCAACATTTTGAACTCCGAAAAAAAAAAAGACGCTGGATTGAAAGTTACTTTCAAATAAAATACTCAATGTCTGAGTCCTCCTCGTATTTATGAAATAAAAAGCTGAACTTACATTATCCACTAGCAGCAAACCAAACATGCCACCTGCAGCAAACCAAAAATACCATCTGCTTCTGTGTGCCCTCATCCTTTTATCACGTGGTGAAATATTGAACAAACATCCCTCTCCCAATGTAATAATCTTGCTGGAATTTTTATAATAATCTTCTTAAAACAAAGTAGATCTATATCTTCATTTTGATTTAGCTGCAGCTCTTGTTCAGTCACTAAAAACTGTTATTTTTAATCTTACATTATAAACTAGTAGGATTCCTTTCATATATTTTGAATAGGATAACAGCTTCCTGCTGAGTCAAAGTCAGTGGTAAAGGGCTGCATGCATTACACAGCAAACCCCATAAGTTAATCAGCAGTAAAAACAAATGAATCTATCCAGGTACCATTAAACATTCAGTTTTCTCCAGAAACTTTTCTTCAGATTTATCCATGGTTGGAGGGGGTGAAAGCTCAGTAAATCGGGCTCTGGTCACAGATATAGGTGTGTTTAGTGACTGATTAGCAGATAAACAGTCAAGTGATGTGAATTGTAACAGGTCCCAAGCACAGCTTTTACCATTCAGATGAAGATTACTTTGGGACAAAGATAATCTTTTCAGCAGTTTCATGTAACATGAGAGCCTGCAAGAAGCTTGTTTAGCAGAGGAATATAGTGATTTACTTAGCCAGCTTATTTACTTAACTAGCTAGTGCTGCATTCCTGAGTGGAGCTTCGAGCAGATCAGCGGCTGTGCCGGCGCGCGTTTTGAGCGTCGGAGCCACAGCAGAGGGGTTCAGGAGCCACGTGTGGCTCCGGAGCCGTGGGTTGCCAACCCCTGACCTAGAACATCAACAAAAAGGTACTAAGTAGAGAGAAATGACAAATGTGTTTTATTAGAATTATGACAGACATTGCAAAAATACCATTAACAAAAAACTTATTTAGTATTGGTAAGAAAGGAATAGCTGTGAATATGAAAAAGGCAATGCAAATGGAAAAAAACTCAAACATTCAAAATGCAAGTTATAATGCAAGAGAGAAACTCAAGTATTGATTGACAAATGACATACTACTGCTTTGTGTTTTTTAAAAAAATGCATAGCAGTATAAAATACTGATATCCTAGATTTATACTGAATTTCTGTACACAAAAGTATACAGGATAGAATTCTTGACAGCATTACTACTTTAATAGCTCTGGAGTAAGTTAACAGAACACAGTAATTAGATTTGAAAGTAAAGGTGTATGTTGCATTGAGAATGAAGTGTTCAAAATGCTTGATGTGAAAAAAAATTAACCAAATGTTCACCGCAACTATAACTGTACTTCTTTTGAAATCAGAGAACTTTCTACTGTAATTTTTATAGTTGCCGTATTCCAAGCAAAGGGCCAAGAAATATTTCTGCCCATCTTTATTCTTTAACAAGAAGTACAGTTAATGAAGTATACACTGGTTAAGATAGTTGATGGTTAAACATTAGTGTATACAGAAGGAGCCTGTAATACTGTGAAATAAGCATTATTGGCTATTTGAGGCTGACTACTCTTTCTTGAAGAAAGGCAAATGCCAAGAAATTGCTAAGGTACTTTAGATAGCTTGAGTGTAAAGATTTCCTGATTATAAGAGGCCTACATGAAAGAAGGGTCAGTATATTATCAGGACTAGTGCAGCAGTACCCCTACTTCTCTCTTCTCCAAGCCAGTAAAAAATAGAAATGTTTTCCTGTCAACTAAACACAAGATTCCACAGAGTTGAAGGAAAATTCTCTCTGGCTTCTTTAGGAGAAAGGCAGCTTTGTGAGAATAGTTAACTAATCCCAAGATCCAGGCATTACTGAAATCAGCTGTATAAAGCCAGTATCAACATTCTTCAATGGTCTCACTATATGGCACTAGAGAATGAGGCATCTTTAAAAAAGAGAGCGAGAGAGACATCCAAGGTTATTAAAAATGCAATTATGTCCCAGATTGGATTCATAAATGTTGAACATAAGAACTCATAATCAAGTATACTGAAATGACTCCATTATAAATTAGCCATTTCTATAATCTTTTCAATACTTCAACATTCAGAAATCCCTATTTCATTTATACCAACTTGTTCTGTTAGTCTGTGACACCAACCTCAATAAACTAGCAGTATCAAGTATGAAAGCCTCTGCATTAAGCTAGTATAGTTAAAGGCATTCTTATATGTACAGTAAACATTCAACACAATGTCCTCATTATGGAGGACTACAGAAAATCTGAATTTATGATATGTTTTATGCAGTGAATGGAGTTTCATCTTATAAAGATGGCATACTGACACCTCTATCCTAAACACATTTTCTTATAAGCAAATTCCAAATTTCAATGGAACTTACTTCAGTGTGTATTTAGAATCAAAGTCCTATACAATTCAAATGCCCTTAAAGCCAAGTTGAACATCTGTAGACAAGTTAACAGTAATGTATATTCCATCAATATCATGAAACTTAAGTCCTACCCATTGTATGCATCTAAAATTTTAAATTCTGAGTAGCTGGTTTACAGCAAACTACAGAAATTTTCATAATGTTCATCATTTAGCCATCCACAATTTAAAAAGGGAAGAACATTTGTGAACCCAAAATGCTACACTAGGTGTACATTCAAGACTGACTGAAATACAATTAAATTTTGTTCCATTAGACTGTTAGTAGCAGCAGCCTGTGTTGATCATAAAGGGAAGATACAATTAGAAGCAAATCTACCTGACATCAGAACATTTAATTCACTTAAGATTTAATTCTGCTCCATTAAAATAAACTGTTTCTCTACTGACTTCAAGGAATTGTGGATTACTCTCCCTATTCTTTTGCATTAGCACTAAAAACACATGTCCTATACAGGGCTAAAATCAATATTATTAAAGCAGATTTCTGTTCATGCCATGGGTATTCCTTCCTCTCCCCTGAAATCTGTTCCCACAATCTTCCAGAAGCATACTGGAGTTGGTGCACAGCAAGGGGAGGGAATTCAATCCATCAGCAGTGTCCATTCCGCTGGTGCAAGGATAGCTTGATGCAACCCTTCATATCCCCCAAAATTAGAAACTCCATTAAATATCACCAGTTTAAATGAGCACAGCAATCTTAAAAGATCAAAATACATCCTGCTAAATTCTAGCTAGAATTCAGTTTTTAAATGGTTATACCGCAACTCACAAAAAGACCAATTTAGTTCACCGTTTGGTCAGATTTCTCTCTATACAGTTTTGAGTTCCTCTCTAAATGTGCACACCCTCTAGAAGTCAGAAGCCAATAAAAGAAATGGACATCAACACATCACAAAATCCTAATGAAAACTTTACAGATGGTACAAATTATATAAAACTACCCTGTCCAGCAAGTTCCATATTTTCAAACATTAAGGCAACTTTCATTAATTCTAACCAGACAGTATTATAAAAAATAAATGCCACTTCAAAACATTATTTACATAATGAGAGTAGTTTTACATCAAAAAACTTTAGTAAATTAATAAAGTGTCACAATATATTACATAGAGGTTATATCAGGTGCTTGAGTGTATGTGCAACTGGGAGTAAATTCTTCATGTTTAAAGTACAGGTTTCAAGACGGAGCGCAAGGATCGTCCTTCTTTTGTAAGTTCTCGTGTGACACACATACATGGCAGTGGTACAGCCTCTTCCCGTCTTTCCACAGCATTGTAGTTGCATTTCTTTAAGTGGTCAGCCATGCTTACGATGTCAGCAAACTTCCACTCATTTACAGTACAAAATGCTGTGCTGAATCGCCACACCTAGAAAATAAATTTCTGATCATGAAAGTCCTCCTTTCTTACAGTGCAAGGCTGTTTTATAGTGGGGAAGCAAATGACACATCCATGAGGTACAGGTGTTCAGAAGCATGGTTGTACCCAAGCATTAAGTGTATGGTACAACAAGCAATAACCACAAACAGCCCCAAGTATGGAAGATTGTACAATGACTTGCTGCAGAAAGGTGTTCTGAATGCCATGCTATAGTAGGAGTAAGGAGAAAAAAGGGAGTATATTATAAAAATTCTGAATCAATAGTTTTTCAGAGCATTTCTCTTCTCAAAGAATTTAGTTTTGCTTTTAAATTTAAAATTGTTTTAGATGATAAGAACCTTATACAACCTATTTACTAGACCTTTTATTTAAACAGTATTTTAATAATCTTTAATATTTATAGTTTTAATTATGCAGCCAGTGTGTTTCCAAGTTTTAATTGCAATTGTAATTTTGTTTTGTTTGTGTTGTGATACATCCCGAGGCTGTGTAGCAATGGGGACAGCATATAAATCTTTAAATAAATAATAGAGTCATTTTTACAAAGGTAGAGTGTCCTGTTTGTCCAAAGATGCTTGAGATGACACACACACAACTGTGTCTGGGTCTATTTTTGTATGGACCAACTAGAAAGTCCTTGCTTCAACTTGGCACTCCTATATTACCAGATAGCTCAGGAAAAAGTGTGCTCTCATTGCTTTAGGCCACATTGTTTTAGCCACATTGTCATGAATCTACCCTATCACCCCTGCTATCTCGCCTCTGGTGAAAGACCTGAGGGATTAATTTTGTTTCTTTGGTCCACTCCAGGACCTTAACAAGGTAATTGTTTTCCTTCTTTATCTCTCCATTATTCCACTTCTATAACTTCTGGTTTTATTAGCTATAGGTCCTCATTAGTCAGTTTTGGCTGGGAAAGAATTTGACCTATCTCCTTGAGTGACCATTTGCTTTCAAAATTTTGCCTTCTGCATGACAAATATTTTTGTTTGCTTTGCTTTCACACTCTTTGTCTTATTACCCCAGTCACAACTAGTTGATCTAGTGCTGGGGTACTGGAGAGGGACCTCAGTCTAAGAGCAGATGCCTACATAGTCATCCTCTGCAAGGAGGTAGGTATTTGGCTTTCTGTTCAAACAAACTTTTTTTTACTATTGTTCTTTTATTTTACTTACACAGTTTTCCAAATTGCTTCTAAATTTTACATAATTTTAAAAATGTAAAATCTGTGTCATACACATGTATTTTATCTTCCATCTCCAATGTAGATCACTTTAAATAAAACTTGTTTTATTTTGCTATTTAAAACTCTTACATGCCTACTTCTCCATTTGTAAGGGAAAGGAAATAGTCCTTAAATGCCAAAAGAAAAATATGCTGATTCCAGAGGAAAATATAGTTTCTACCATGAACAAATATACAGAGGAAAATATAGTTTCTACCATGAACAAATATACAAACCTTCTCCTTTATTTGCCATGAAGAACTTCCATCTGGATACATCCTCTTTTCCCAAAGTAATATGACCATTCCACGTGCCTGCAGTAAGCTTCCACACACATCTCTCATTAATCGTGACACTTGTGAAAGCTGACACAAACTAAAGCCATCTAGAAAGCCTGCAATGTGTTGCAGAACTTCAAAAGGAAGATTACTCAGATGATCACTACGCAGTCCTAAGCAGCATCTCTTGTCAGGCTCTGTCAGCACAGTAGATATACAGGGCTGAACCCCAAATGACCGAAGATGCCTGTCATGAATAATCTTTGCTCCTTGTGTTGAAGGACAGAATCTGCGTTGAGAATATGTACACCCATAATAAGCCAGAGGACATCTCTGCTCCATCCAGCCATTGAGGCCAGCATGAATATCACCATGTACATTCTTAAAATGTGAAGAAAATTCATTTCTCCTAAACAATTGTCCACAAACAAATGTAAACATTGAGCGCTTTGTTTGGTATCGAGCCACACATTCTAGTACCAAGTCTAGCCCAAGAGTCTGGAAAGGGCTTGGATTTGAGAGCTGTGGATTTGCATGATCACATGCAGAGGCTGAAGCAATCTCGCCTACCATTGTATTTGTGGCCAAGATTGCAGATGGGAGAGAAAATGTTTGAGTTCCAAAATCAACACGGTATCCATCAATAACACGACTATCAGATATTCCCCTGCCACCAGGTGAGTCTCCAAGACAAAACAGTAATGCTGCTGTGATTAAGTCTATTCCCTGAAGACCCATAGGATCTTCTGTTATTTCTAGATCAGATGTATCTACTGCTTTGTCTTCCTTTGGTGCAGATAAGTAGTGATTTGCAAGGAAATTGTAGGTACGATGAGGAATTAAGGAAAATACATCTATGTTTCTGAGTCTGTCTTGTTCTATTTGCCTCTGTAATAGTTCATCGCTGTAGTCACGTGGCAGATATACATGATTAATAGTGCCATTAGAAAAACTGTGCAGAGGAATTTCTTCCCTCACTGGTGGTGCTACAGGAATAAGGTTGTAAGAATTCAATGTTTCATCACAAGAAGATGCATTAGTTATACCATTTGCTACATTAGACTGATTGAAACTACTCGTTTCTAGTTCTTCACTCTGTTGCAGAGTATCTGAGCCAGCACTGTCTACATAAAAGCCATTACATAAAGAGGTATTATCAAGGCTCATATTCAAGTTGTATTCCTGCATGGTATCGTAACAAATGTCACTTGAGCCATTTTGTTCCAACTGTGCATTTTGACCCAAGACATCTAACTGAATCCCACCAACTGCTCCCATGCTACCATCATCTTGACAGTCATATCCTAACTGTTTATGCATATTTCTATCACAGTTTTGCTCTTTTGTTTCAACATTTTCATTTGTTTCACATGGTGAAATACCAAGTTTTGAACTTAACATGCTTATATCTCTAGTAGCTGAGTTCAGGATATCCAGAGCTGTAGCTAAACTCTTCGTTGTTTCCACAGTTGCTTGATAAAGTGCACCATATGACTCTTTATCTACAGTCATCAAGCCATTTGCAAGTGTAACATCTTGGGTACTTGCAACTGAAATCTGCTCTCTGGACTTTGACACGGGATCAGCTGTTTTTGATGTCATCGTTGCAACTTTGAGAGATTCAAGGAGCATTCGCTGATCTTGAAGGGCAAGAGCCATATCTAATTGTTCAACTTCATCAACATCTTTACTTAGATTTTCATAAGATTTTCTATCAGCATAACTGACTGGCCATCGATTCCACTCCATAGTGCAGCATACCACACTCGCAGGGCATGTTTCTAGATGTTCAGCAATTTTATTTCTTGCTATAATAAAGGGACAGCCAAAGCCACTGTTCAGACAAGGCACTCTTTCAAGTGCACATAGAAGGCGATGTTCTTCAGCTTTACATGAATGAAATACTGCTCCACAAACCATTGGACAACCAATCAAGTCACAGGAAATGCCTGCCTCTGGTCTGGTCATACAACGCCGACTAACACAATTTACACAATGTATATGCTGGTGTTCTTCCATGGTGCCACGCTCAGTTCTGCAAAGACAAACAGCAAAAAGTCAGTATTTCTGTTCTTAAGTTAACAAAGCTGTAACAAAGTACTGTATTGGTATGCAGAGTACCATCCTGTGTGCAAAACTGAACCATTGACAAAGATTTGGGGGTTTTGGCTAGGATTGTTTTGAGCCTCAAACTTAAGCCTTATTTTTTCTAAAAATATTGATTTAGAATATGCACAGTTGTATGTATACCACCACATACATACTAATCAAATTAGAAAAGTGGAATCTGTTCCTGTTGTATTCAGTCATGCCCTTCTCCAAAATACTCTTTTCCATTTACTGGTCTTCCACTTTCCAGTCACTTTTTAGTAGGACCAGTGACTTGTATATAAGCACCTCCTGTAACTTTAGGCAATAAGAAATTACAATTTTAATTTAATTAAAACATTTCTATGTCGTCCTTTGCAACAGCCTCAGGATGGCTTACAGAAGATAAAAATAACAATGTAAATAATCACAAGGAGGCAACCAAATGCTAGAGAAGGGATGGAGTGCTCTGTGCCATTTTTGCCTGTAGCATAACAAACAACTGGGCTGTGTAGGGAGCAAGAGGAAAATAAAAATGTATTACTGCCATACTTGAAGGTCATTTCCAGTGTGGAAGCAGACCTCATTTTTTCATTTTTACATCACCTAATAGCAGAGGCTCTCAGGGCAGTTAACAAAAGAAAAAAATAAAACACACACAAGATAAAAATTACATTAAAACAAAAAAACCACAATAACAATTGAATCAGCATGGAAGCATAGCAACAGTACAGAATAAAATGCAGTATTAAAAATGAAGTTAAAACAAACTGTTAAAATGCTGGGAGAATAAAAAGTTCTTTACCTGGTGCCGAAAAGAATACAACGTAGGCACCAGACACACCTCTTTGGGGAACTCATTCCACAATCAGGGTGCCACAACCAAAAATCCCTCCTCTTGGGAGCAACCCATCTCACTTCCTTTGGAAGGGGCACCCAGATCTACTAGAATGCCCCCAAAATTAAGCTTTGCCACAAAATCAGTTCATTTGCTAATTATACCCTATCCACAAGTGACAGGAACCATGTGTGGAAGCATGCTCTCTCTCCAGAGCTGGTCTGAGTAACACTGAGTTTCTCTAGCCTGTCTTTGAGGTAAGAAAAAGCCTACAAGATAACAGAAGAGGGGCTGAGGTAAGAGATGGCTGTTTAGCAGCTCAAGCAGACTCCAGAAAAGAGTATATACGAAACTGCCTTATCCCGAATCAGTCCACTGATCCCTCTCACACAGTACTGTTGACACGGACTGGCAGTAGCTCTCCAAGGTTTTCCTGCCCTATCTGGAAATGCCAGGGATTCCTTCTGGAAGGAAAGTATGTGCTTTACCAGGCAAAATTACTTCTCGGTTTTCTTCTATTAAATGACACACTTTCACCAAAATTAAACAGCCAACAAGATGTATGACTATCTACCTCTAAACAGCTACTATTGTTTTGTGGGCAATGATGTAACAAGTACCCCATCTGCTCAGCAATACTGAGAATCAAGAGTGAAAACAAACATTGTTACTTATTAATGGCTTCCCAATTGACCTACATATATAAGGGAGAACTGCTTTCCATCATCAGATTAGGGAGTTGTGTGCATTCTTCAAAAACTGTATGTTATCTTAAACCTACAACCTTAAACCCTACGAGCCTATTTCTCCTACCTCCACCTACAAGTCGCTACCAGCTTCTACAGTAAAATACATCTAATGAAAGAACCTTAACATTACCTACAGCTGAAATATTTATTCTGATTAAGTGTGCATTAGTTATTCCTCATTTTTAAAAAATGATTGTGGGGGGTCATCCTGAGAAACAGTGGCCTGAATTCCTAACTCCATACCTTTGGAAAACCCCACTCTCGACTGATAATTACTATAATTCCAATAAGATTTTGAAAAAGAGACCAGCTTAAGAGCCCCAAAAAGACCCGAGGATCAGTATGGCTACTCACTATACAGACTATGTCAGATATGCAGAACTTGCAGTCCTGAGACCACTTATATTTAAGCTCAAAACATACTTGGTGACAAGTAGATACAGACTCATGTTGAAAATATGTCTCAGACTGTTACGATAGCTGATGAAAACTCTGTTTAGATTGTTCCCGTTTAGCACATTGGTAGCTCATCCTTTCTCCAATAAGCTCATGACTGCTGAGCTATCAAATTATATTTTCAGAACTCATCATTTGCTCAGATACCCAATGAGCTCTCTGGCTGAAGAGTTGAATACATCTCTCCTAAATATATGAGGCCCAAAGAGACCATTATCAATACAAACAGCACCACCAACACCCTGACAAGCTTTTAAGTGGATGTGCAGGAGTCAGCCAATAAACATCACCACCAAAAAGAACTCAGATTATTGAATATTTTGAAAATTTAAAAAGCACTTTAGATAAAGACTTGCTGGGCCAACCTATAACTTCTTATGTACATGAGACTTGGATCAGATGCTTCCTCCCATACTTGCCCTTCTGGGATAAGCTATAGTCTGCCATTACATCCAAGCCAGCAAATTCCAATTTGGAAGTCAAGTGCAAGCTACAGTTACAGACTATTTCTTGATTGTGGTATGCATTTCTGGAGGGCATAAATCATGGTTTGCTGGTTCCAACATAACCAGTGGTTTGCGGTGAAAGAAGAAATGTAGAGCATAGCAGTAACAGAAAATATGTGAACACAAGGTATGCTCACATAAAGCCAAGTGCTAGCTTAATGTTAAATATGTGCTATACTATTACAAACTAAACAATACTGATTGCCTTCTAGCACTCTGCCACAAGTTTAGCAGACCACAGCACATGGCCAACCCAGAAGTATTATTAATGCAAAGTACCTAAAAATCCTTCAGAACTGTGTTATTCAATTGAACTGAATATTTATAACTAACACACACACACACACACACACACACACATATACACATATACATACGTACTTAAATTTGTTTTCTCAACTTTCTCAGAATTTCTGAAATGGAAAAAGAGGTAGACATTCATGAAGGCATGAGAAGGTAACTTTCTGGAAAAGTTCTATATAGCATTAGAAGTATGCTGGACCATCATGTCAGGTTTGATTTATTTCTTTATTTAAAACTTTTATATCCTGTCCTTTACACAGAGGTCTCAGGATGTTCCAACAACAAAGGCACAGCATCACATCTATAATAAAAACCTGATTAAAATAGAAAATAGGTCTTTAAAACTGGGAAAATAAAAAGGGTTTGGTTCTCTCATGTGTTTTAAGAGTGAAATTCATAAGATCAGTAAAGGATTGTATTTGGTCTTACTCAAAAGCAGGCAGCCATCTCAAAAGGGTTCTAGGTAGACTATGCATTCCTTTAATCAATATCTAAAAGCTTCTAGCCCAACTATTAAAACTATAACAATTCATGTACAAGCAACAACCAACTTCATGCCTTCTTGTAGTAATCAAATCTGAGAAAACTAGGGGAGCAATTCTTTCTTTATGTGTCAAGGTGTTCTGAATGGATATTTATTAATGCTTTCTTGGAACAATAGTTTAGGCACCTTTTGGATGGCAGCATTCAATGCTGAATGTTTATATTTCAATATATTAAGAGCTTCATAGAACAGTTGCTGTAAAGCACTGTTAATACTAGAAATTTATCAAAGCCATCTCATCTATCTGAAGTGTTTCTTCTCCTTCGTATAGGCTTCCAGATAATGAGGTTCAGCATATAGGAGCAAGAAACCAGTTAAGGGAGCAATCCTATGGCACCCAGACAGCATCTGAGGGGTGCAGGATTTTTTAGATTACTAAATCAGAATCCAAAAACTGTACTCTGACCTATTCATATAGACTGCACACTTAAGATACATCAGGCTTCATAAGGCAAATTCAATCACTTTCAAAAGTAGCCAAACTAGTAATAATTCTTTTTTCATTCTTTTCCTGTATTTTTCTTCTCTGCAACACTTATTCTGGGTATTGTGGATAATGGCCTTACCAGATCAAGAGCTTCCAAGGTACAGCAGAACAATGGGGCTTTTTCTTGCAGTTTCCATTTCTATAATATGCAGGCAGGGACAATTTCACAGCCAAAACCCCTAATAAGATTTTTTTTAATCATATACAAATATGGAACAAAACTAAGAAAGCACAGGTCACAAATATTAGAAGTAACAAGATACATTAGTCATAAAGTAAAAAGAAAAGGTATTAAGTTGTGATAAAGTGAAAATTCCTTGCCTGGTACTGTTAATTTACAGACATGCAAAAAGTACCAAATTATGCTGCATGGATTCAAGCATTAAGTTGGCAGCATGCTTCATATTTAGTATGACCCTTAAATTTCCCAGTCAGAGTTTTTCACCTCCTTCATTATACCCCATCCTTCCGATCCCCTCGTATGAACATATTTACCTGAATATTATTACTGGACTGGCATTTGGGTTGATTCTTTCCTGCAACAAAAACAGTTTTAGTAAAGATGGTAAAATGTATCCTTGCTTTTTAATAGAATTTCAGTCTTTGTATTACATTACACTGCCTTGATTAGAAAAAATTGCAAAGCTCTTTTTATATTAGCATGAACATAAAACAGGGAATACATGTTCTTTAATGATGCACTTTTCTTAATAGGTTATTAAGAAACAAGGGGATTTTTGTTAATAGACCAGAATCGTAAGGGCTATATCCAGCACAAAATGTGTCCTATAGCCAACAAAATCCCATTAATGGCAAACCTTGGATAAAAATTCTTTGCCAGTTCAGGTGGAGAAATTCTTACTTCAAGAAATCAGCTTGGGAAGCAAACCTGCAGACACTAGACAGCATCTGAGGAGTTGTTCTGATTCCCAGATCTGGGTGAGACACTGCACTTTAACCTCAGAGCTGGGAATTGAGTTCTGACCACTCCCTGCCTCACAGCCAGTGTAGAAAGAACCACAGAGGAATAAAAGAAGAACCCTTCAGACAAATAAAAGAAGCCAGTTTGGTGGGCAGGAAAAGGAGGAGACTAGGGATGCCAAGATAGGACAACTCGATGCTTATCCTGAAACAGACTAGGCTGTGGCAGAACTCTAGATTCAGCTGAATGTATTCTAGCAATTCCTGTCCTGAGTTCATAATCTTTCCAGAACACTCCTTTTTAGCAGAGTAGATTGCTGTGCAGTTGATACTCATCTGTTGCAAGGAATCATAAAATCATAAAAGTTGGAAGGTACCTTGGAGGTCATCTAGTCCAAGTCTAGCTCAATGCAAGATCCAGGTATCTTTTCTCTCATTCATTCTGTTGAAGGGATAATGCTCTTGCACTAATGCTAAACAAATCTAATTTCCTAATTGACACAGGGCAGAATCAAAGAGGGTACTAATGCTTCCACTGATTCTCTTAACCCCAGCTACTTCCACTGAGCAAGTAAACATCCCACTGTTCCCATTGCAGAAGCAGGACTCATTGCATGGGTTCATACATAATGACAGGCCATAGCGGAAACCACTGCGGCATGGCTTTTCATTATGTGCAGACTGTGCAAGGGGATGAATCATGGTCTCCATGGAACCATGGAGAGAAAGCAGTTTGTCTGAACCCAGTTTCCATGTTCTTCACAGTTTCCATGTTCCTTCTAGAAAGTGTTGCAGCAAAAGCAGGCATGGCCACAGCAGACAGTCCAGCCTGCCTTCTCCACTATCTAAGTCTGAAACTGCTAAAGTGGGTGCAGCCATGCTCTGACTGGCTGTTCCACACTCCTTTTTTTCTTTTGCCTGTGCACTATCTTCCCAACAAACATGATGGTATGGTCAGAGGCAGGGGAGGGGCTTCTGAGGGTCGAATGTGGGGCACTGGAAACTGCTGGTTGCAGCTGTGTCATGTGAAGGAGTTGGGGGGCAACAGCCTGCCCACATGGATGTGCCTGGTTGCAAGGGGGGAGGTGCCCCCTTCCAGTGTGTACAAGTCCTGCACAAACAGAAACATGGACTCATCTGCAGCAAGAGAAAGACGAGGAGGAGGTGGGAGTGTGGACTGATGTACTTGGCATGGAGTATGACAGCACAGAGGCATGCTAAACCATGCACTAGTGTTCCTCTAGAGGAACAGTGCTACTATAGTGAGTAAGTGGTTGTTTGTTGTCAGCAGGGGAGAAAAACATGCTCAGAGGAGTGTGCGGACCAATGAGGAAAAGGCAGGTGATGCAGGCAAGAGCACTGCATGCTGGGATTGATTTTCAGCTATGGAGGTTTATGGAAATCAACTGCCATCAAGATGAAAGATGGAGAAGCATGCAAACCATGTGACTGTGTAACCCAAGGTAAGAAACCACACAGTGTGGTAACCACATGACATGGTTTTGCTTTGTGTGTGCATGCTGCCACTGTTTGTGCAACAGAAATTTAGCACTTTCCAGAAAAAGCCCTGAAACAAGTTTCTTAATCAGGACAGGTCAGTGGAGCTCCCTTATGCAATCTCTGCTGACCTGCCCATTCCAAAGGTAAGATTTTTGCTCTCTTCTGCTTGTTCCAGAAGCCCTGAATCATCTTTGAAAAAGCTGTGGGTCTTGCTTGAAGCAGTGGTCTCTACTTGCAAACAGGAATTGGTGAGAGATAAGGGGATCAACAAAGGTAAAAGTTCCCTATTGGATTCAGCCCGCAGGGAAGTAGGACACATAATCACTCATGACTGGCAACAGCTCCTCTGCTTCCCCATGTGATACTAGGAACTTTACAAAATAAAGAACTGATAAACACTTAATCCTCACAGCATTGCCCCATTTCACAGAACTATTATTACTTTACATAGATTTTGGCACTGACAGAATTTCTCTCTCTCAACAATGATCTGATTCCTTTTCATCTTCCGTGGAACACAGGATGTTGAAACAATGGCACTAGGGAGCCAGTGTGGTGTAGCAGTTAAGAGTAAAGCAGTGGGACTCAGGTGATCTGGGTTCCAGTTCCCATTAGGCCATGGAGCTGGCTGGGCCACTTTGGGCCAGTCACGGACTCTCAGTCCAACCTACTTCAAAGGGTTGTTGTTGGGGGATAAGTTTGAGAGCAGCAGGAGGAAAATGATGTAAGCCACTCTGAGTTCTTTAAAAGAAAAAAAAAGTGGGATATAAATTGAAATAAACAATAGATCTCCAAAGTCACACTGGAAAAGTGTCTGGAAATACTATAAAGTAACTCCATCAAATATAAGTGCTAATTTCACACACTAAGAAATTCTATTAAAAATAATAAAAAATCAACTTCTTGCTTAGCTTAACTCATTAAGTTTAACAGGAATTATACAGATTGTACAAGTAGATGCTATGAAAGCCCAATTATTGTTTTCAAAGAAAAATGGTTCAGAAGAGAAGTTTATAGTAGAATAGGAGCGGGGGTGGGGGGAATACAGAGGGAAAGTGTTTGTCCATTTCCCTGCCAAACAACTTCCTCCACCTCCTCCAACAGGTTTCCAAACACGTATTAGCAAGGGCATACTTATGCCTAGATCTCCAAACACTTATTTGGGGTGGGGGGGCACAGTGGTCAATTTTAGATCACGATAATACCAGGCAGAACAAGGGAAAAGCAATCCACACATACACATTGAGTTGGTTTGTATGCCCACATCTGTGCATGCCAGTCATGTGCTGGCAGGGAGGGGGGAAATTAGTGTGATCATCATCAGCAGGGCAGTTTGTTGTGTCTTCTGAAGCCAGCCAGGATGGCTTGTTGCAGAGGGTCACAAGTCATGCAGAACACTGCAACAGCCTGTGCTCATCTGATCATCTGGGCTTAGGCAAACATTGGATTTTTTCTATTTTAAATGGAACCCATCAAAACCAGAACTCAAAAAGGGGAGAGGGTCACCATACGCATTTGCCTGTAAATTGCAGCTATTTTATAATGTTGCAATCCAACCCACACTTCCACAGAAGTTCTGTCCAACTAAAAGTATTTATTTCCAAGCAATTACATTTCATATCAAGGTACATTACATTTATATAACACTATGCAGTGACAACAGAATACCATGCTTTGTTGGTATTTCATAACCCAGCACTGAGTTCCTCTTTCCATGGCTTTAACATTTTAATTCCTTTTAATCCAGGCAATAAACTATTTTCCACAGTCAGATGTGACAATCTCATGGTTCAACTGAATGGCTTGTGACCACAAATTATTACAAATCCCATAAATGCTTTTCATGCACTGTATTTTCACTCTTTCTATAAAGCATGATTTGTAGATTTCTTCCTCTGTAAATTGATAGTGCAAGTTTAGCAATATCAATTTTTGTTAAAATGGATCACATGCACAACTACCATCTATTTTGAAAGTTTTTCCCTTATTCAAACTTTCTGATACATTACTTTTCACCCAAAAGTGCATTCTTTTTGAAAATTTACCAGGGAAGGGGCAAGGAAAGGAACTGCAAGTAAAAAGAAAACCTTTCTTTGTTCTTTTGGAGCCACTAATTGATTCAAATCCCAACAATACTCTTGGAAGCTATGCATACTTCAAGGGTTCTTCCATCTCCAGCTCTGAAATGCCCCTAAAACTTACTTCATGTTTTCAGAATAGCTGAAAGAGAGGACAGCCTTGTTCCAAGTATGCGCACACGCATGCACACACTGTAGAAGCAGTATAAGCAACATGTAAATTAGATTAACATTCTGTAGATTTACATACATCAACAATAGCCAAAATAGAATTGTAATGGAATCTAAGAATGGGGAAAGAAACAAATGTCTTGTAAGTCCTGCAAGCTTTTACAACTTACTACATTCTAGGGATTTTGACATACGTTCCTTTGGTGTTTTTTCCCCAATTACTAGTTAATTAAGGGGGTACGCTCCTCAAGTACCAACACTGCTACCTTTTGACATAATTGCCAAATATATATATATAATTGGCATTATTAGACAAATTTTCAATGTATAGATACCTTTTTATTAATTTTGGGCATAGTCCTTGCTGCTTCTCTTATTATCTTGTTCCAGAAATGGTCCACAGTGATGCCAGATTTTAAGTTTCACAAAGAGAAGAATCATAGTAAGCAAACAAGCACACAGTGGCCTTGAATATCATTCAGTCTTATTTCTCAGCTTTGCTGCTTGCCAGCACAGGTTTCTTAGACAATGGCATTCTTCTAGATACCTGTTCTTCTTGCCTCTTTAAATGCAGTATTTTCAACGTATGGATGCACAGCTGTTGAAATATAACTGCTAAAACAGGATTTAAGGTCCAAAATATTATATTCACTTGGATTAAACCAAGGCTGTGGAGTAGGAGTTGGGCCCATCCTGGAGTCAGAAGCAGTTCTTGGATTCAAGAAAAATGTGCCAACTTGAACTCTGACTGCTAATATTTTTAAATTGTAATATAAATAATATGTTACATTTTCTATTTCACAGATAATTTGATTAACCTATTTTTCATGTTCTATTTTCAAGATATATTTAATTTTGCATTTTAG